CACGTTGAGAGTCGTTTACAAATGCAAAACCATTAGCCAGCTACACTTCGGCCACATATATATATAAATGGAGAGAGAGATTGAGAGAAAAAAGTGACAACAACAAATAGCAACAGCAACAACACAACAGCCGTAGAAGCAACATCAGTAGCACTCGCATATATCGCGCGCGCATGTGAACAGCTAATCAAACAAAAATTACCACCTGATTATTAAGCTGAAGTGAGAGCAAACAGCTCTTTAATCATATTTAATTTACGGCTCAACTGTATCATTAATCAATTGTAGAGTACAATTCCAAATGGTCTTTCGCTTTTGCGAGCTTGTTTTCTAACTGGCGAAAAGCGCTCATTTCTAGATTACTCTGAAATTATGGTTGAGCACGGCGGCTAGCATCAAAATGAACATGAAATAACTATTTACCATTTCCATCGTAATTAGGTCGTTATTGATATCGCACTGCGAGAAGTTGAGACAAAAGAAAGGAACAATTTGAGTTGAAAATTAAACGGCTAAACCGAATTGTCCATTGGTCGACACTCAACCAATAATTCGCTAAGAAAAAGTAAAACAAACCGCACAATGAAACCGGTGACACAAGACGCTAATTATAATTATTCGTAATTGTATGTTGCCGTTGTTTCATGCAAAGACCATTTCAAAATTTATGTAAAACATTTCACAAAACATCTGCGATCCAATATCGCAATGCTCTTGATCGAGACAAAGCCAAATCAAATTATCGATTGTCAATTACAATTGCCGAGCAAATTAAAAAATGTCCAACGATTAAGATAATGGGGTGTGATCATTAACAATATTCTTCAATGTATATACTTAATGCCATCAATTGGGGACCCTTCGCATTCATTTTCAGCTAAACGAATTTCAAGACGAGTATTTGGGCTTTTTTTTTACCGACACCAGTGCGCTGTGCAACAGAAACAATAATAGATGTTCTTCGTGAACGGGAACTACACGAAGCATTTTCTATTGAGCGACGGAGAGAGAGAGCCTTGCCGTGCAAGCTTTTTTGTGTGTGAGCACTATTTAGTGTATGTGTGCTCAAAACGAAAGTATTCAAATTGAAACGAAAATACAAACACACACTCATACACAAGGTAGCGAGCTGGCAAGCTGGCAAGCGTTGAGTACCTTTTCGCTTGGAGTATACACATTTGAAAGTATGCACATTGCAACATGTATACAGCGTTTCATTTGTTTGTTTGTTTGATTCTTGCTATTTATTCAATTTTGCTAAAATTACTCGTTGCGCGTGCCCATTTCCTGGCGCCAGCAATAAGTCTTAATGTTGTTTATGAATATAATTAGTTATACAAAGCTATTTCTTGCTATTGTTACCACTACTGCTATTCACGCTTCTATCGTCACTATCAAATGTATTATATTTTCGTTTTTCGTTGGTAGACAAAATCAAAATTTACACACATATTTTCGTTTAGTGCCTCAAAAACCAAATATTTGCTCCATTCTTGTGGCTTTCATACCGTCTGCTATGTAAACGTTTAATATAATCTATTTGAGGTTTCAACTTTCGCTCGCTCAAACGTATTTTCGCTGCTATTTCAAAAACAGGACACATTTGTTCGGGTTCTGTTGGTGCGAAAAATGAATGACCTTGAAATGCAACAAGAAATCCAATTCAATCAGACAATTCAGCGCATTATCAAAATTTTAAATATTCATTTCGTTCTCACAATACATAAAATCGACTAAAACTGATTCTCTTCCGCTCAGTATTCTACCGCCGTTAAATAATACATATGATTGTTTTTTTTTTCATTCTAATTTTTGTTCCCGTATTTGAAAAAAAAAAGTCTTTGTTCAATGCCTTTTTCTTCTCTCTTTTCCCGAATGTGAATTCCTGTGTGCAATCGAAAAATGGGAGTGAAACTCAAACATAAAAAAGGAACCAAATTCATGATGAGTCAAATGGGTTAATGTAAATCCAATTCTTGAGCACAAAAACTGCCGAGAAAACATTGAATTATAACACGAAGCGAGGAGCAGACGAGAAAAAACGAAGAGCCGTAGAAAGAGAGCGAAGGAAAAATAAAACATTAATAGTAACGTTCATGTGTTTGTATGGATTAAGATTCCATACAAATTACATAGTAGGCGCCATAAGAATGTTATTGAAATAAAGCCGGCTCGACTTATGAACATAAAGGCAAACACAAATAGCACCGACCCAATACATATACTATCTGCACGAAGTGTAAGAGGCAGAATGAGCGAGAGAAGGAGCGAAAGAGAGGGAGTGAGAGAGAGTGCGCGCGCGAGTTTAAAACCAACGCAACGCACAGTGTATGTATTTCCACGTCGGTACCGACGACTATACACATGCACTGCCCGTATCAGTCTATAGAGTATATTGTGTCTGTATAAAGTAGGCATCAGTGAAACGTGTATATTTGCGCCCATCGACTTGATATGAACGTAGCCAGAACATAAAATGCAAAACATTATATAAAATGAAGAGGCAAAAAAAACCTTGATCAAAATCAATTTTCTCTCTATCGGTCAGATTGCGAAGATCCATTTCGTTGCAATATGGAAATCATTGCAGTTTGTTTTCCCATATTTTGATTGCATATTAATAAGATGACATGAGCGATCGTTTGTACAAAAGCGAGCGTTTTTTTTGCTCTGTGCTCTGTCCAGAAGAAGACTATCTCGTTATTGAGAGAGAGATGGATAGAGAGCAATGAAAATGCTATTCGAACCGAGAGAAGATGACAAAGAAAAAGAAGAAGAAGAAGGAGACGGAGAAGGGAATAAGAAGAATTGTATATTGGAAATGAATGAAATGAGATGAACTGAGAGGAGAAAGAGAAGAGCCAGACAAAGAGTAAATCACGAAGAACTATAATTTTTATGAAGACGCCAACAGATTGAAAGCAGATAGTGAGACTCGAATTCGGATTTCAATGCAACAGATCTCAGAATATGTGTGTGCTGGCTGGTTTTGTTTGTATGAGTGAGAGTATCGATTCATTCTTCGTTGCGATTGCGGTACCGTTCAGCCGTTGCTGTGTTGATTTCTCTGGACTCTTTATATTTTCATCTTTTTCTTCTGAGAAATACTCTGGTTTCAGTATCATTTCATTTTCTTTTCAAGTATTTCGTTTCTCTATTTCTTTCCGTAGTTTTTTGAGTTGCTATGAAATGTGCTGGACACCGATTTTCGTAAGAAGCGATCATCGATCTTTGATGTGCTTAGAATGAAATGGTTTGAACTTCGTTCGGGTGGACGCTGTTGTGAGTACGACTCTTCACTTGTAACTCTCGACATCAATCCTGTTTCAAAGCCATGACTGACAGTGAAGCAAGTGTGAATTCAGGCGAAATACAACGAAAAAAGATCATTTTTGTTGATTTAAAAACGTATGCAATTGCGAAATGTTTGGAATGGTTGTTCGTCCAATGTTTTTTGTTTTCATTTGTTTGCCTTCATTTTTTTTCTCTTTCTCTGCGACATTGTTTCAGCTTTTACACAGTTCGAGGACTGAACATATCATGTTTATAATAATGTGTCAGCTTGGTCACAAAATTTCATCCAAAGAATTTGGCTACGTTTTCATTCAGAAGCACCGAAATGATCAGCATAGATATATCAATCAGGTCGATTCATTATTTATAGAACATGTTTGTTTAAACAATCCATGTTTTCTCTCTGTGTGTCAAAAGTTTTTATATTGATTTTGCTGTTGACCAAAAACAAAGGTGTTAACCAAATCATTTTATCAAATATGTGGACGAGATCAAACCAGCCCGATTGGCTATTTTGTCATTGTAAATTGATGCCAAAACGAGAATAATTATCTATTTCAAATATATTCAACCGTTCATTTGATTGGTATCAATGTTATTGCTCGGCCAAAACCTCTCAAAAAACCATATGGAATGAATATGGGTTTTCGTTAATTAGAAATATGTGTAAACGAAATGGTTGTATGGAATGTCGACACAGAGACAGAGGCGCTGAGTGTGTGTGTGAGAGAGAGAGAGAGAGAGAGAGAGAGAGAGAGAGAGAAACAAACGTGCGGACTGTGTGCCACACAACTAAAATACACCATTGTATCATACCAACGAAAACTAAAGTGCGCACGGAGCAGCTAATTTACGTCGTCTATGTGTGTAAATATTAAGCACCAATGCGTATCGGTGTATGCATATATATATATATATATATATATATACAACAGTGCAAAGCGAAAAAAAAGTCGCGTCATATTTTTTTGTATATTTATTTTATAGGGCAGGCGACATTCTACGGGCGCCAAGTTTTTGTTGTTGTTGTATTCGGTGTGTCGGCTTTTGCCTTTTGCTACAATATCGTGGAGTATATTGGCGAAATATGTGATACGAACTTGTGTACAGTGTTCGTGTCTGAATGCTCGCTTGGCTTTGCGGAGTCGAAAATTGATTTTCAATTGAGAGAAGAAAGAAGAAGAAAAAAATGAACACATCGGCCCCAAAACTATATAGCAACAAATTCTATACAAACCATAAGACGTTTTCAAGTGTGAATAACGAGGACTCTGACTTTTTTTCCGTTTCTTTTTATTTCATCCTATGCAAATCGAATTCCATTGATCTTGTTAGTGTCATAATGTTTCGAATGAGAAACATCTTTCAAATAAAATCGATTGAAAGCGCCACAATGTATGATGAGGATGGAACATGTTGGATTCAAAATGAGAAACTGAACCGAATGTCAAATTAAACGTTGGGCAAAAAGGATTTACTGAAACAAATACAAACTGAAAGTAAAACAAAATTGATTCTAGATGTGTGCGTCAATGAACTGGCAAACAAACACACAGCGCAGTTAGCACCATTCTAAAAATAATTTTGGGTAACTCTTTTTTCTTGTCCGGAGGGATGAGGGAAGTGAATGTACAAAAAGAAAATGTGAAGAAAAAAAAAACGCAAAGAACAGAAAAGAGAAAAATAAAACCAAAAAAGAACTGTACCTGTTCGACAAATCCGGAACCAATGTGTCGGATTGCAGCAAACATAGACGGGATCTGTTTCGTTTGGGCACGATGGTATCCGTTTCAGTTCGATTGCATAACGTAGATCGGGCCATCGCCACAGACGGCAGGCAATTACGTGCGGATCTTGGCCTTCGATTAACAGTCTCGGTACTAAAACACAATTCGTTGTTTGGCCATACTTGACCGCTTGGCATAGGGTCTCGACTTGTGCTTCTTTCAGTTTTTTGGTCAATGCGCAAAATAGTTGATACAGATTTGTGGTTTGCATATTGGCGGGATTTAATTGGTATTGAGCGGACGAATCGATGCTGCAATCGCTGCTGTTTCCATCTCCGTTTGAGTTGCCACACAAACAACCACCCCCATAGTCGAATTTCGTTGAATTGCACGAGCGCGATGATGGATTGCATTTTGGATGCTGGTGATAGTGATGCAGATGATGATGATGATGGTGATGATGCGTCGTCGTCATCGTCGTTGCTGTCGTCGACTGCATCGAATGTTGATCCAATTGCTCTTGATTCAGACTTGAGGCTGTTGTTGTGGCTAAACCCCATAGTCGTTTCAGATTTCGTTTGCGTTGAAAGAACATGGGGGAACAGCATTGGTAACAATTTTTTATTGTACTATTTTCGTTATCATTTCTTTGACAATAATTATTATTTAACGGTAAACTTGGTTCGCTTTCGTTGTTTATTAGAATTTTTTCGCTCATACCACACAACACCGCCGGCACAATCACGTTTTTTGCTTTGAATTTGTTGGTCGGTTTGATTGCAACACACAATGTTGATGCGATGCACCATTTGAAATCAATTTTGCTGTTTCTTTTCGCGCAAATTTTGGACAGTCTTTAGAAAAGTAATGAAGGGAAGATATATATAGATATATTCGAAAATGAGAATTGGTTTTGTAATTGGCTTGACTTCGGTACAAAATCGCTATCGTTTCGAATTCACACGGACACACAAATTTGATATTTTCCTCTTTGATTTTTTTCTTTTCTTTTCTTTTCTTTTCTTTTCTTTTCTTTTTATTAAATATTGATATTGATTTTGACTTTGATATTCACAATACGATTGATATGTTTACGTTTATTTTTGCAAAATGCAATTCGCGGTGATATGGTTCATTTCATGCGATAGATAATGCGAGTTCTACGCTTCTAGATGTGGTTTGAAAGCGACGAGACGGCTGTTGTTGGAAATCGAATTGTCGAGTTGTCGAATCGGCAAGAAGACAATCGCTAAAAATTCCTCCGATTTTGCACAGTGAACGAACAGTGAAAAATAAAATAAAAACAAAAAACAAAAATGTTAAATGAGAGAAAACAAATTCCAATATTTTGCGCGTAACGCCGCTGTCTTTAAGTAAGACCGAATTTCTTTTCGTCGAGATTCTACGCACTCACGACATGCACGGGCACACACACATAAGCCAATGCACATTTATATATCATCACAACCGCGATGTGTGCGCATACTTCCTTACATAAAAAGTTAGATACATTTAGCTATTGTACGGAACAGCGTTTGTTCGAACCGTATGCGATGGACTCTTGCTATCGGATATGTAGTATTGTTGTTTTCTTGTTACTGTTGGTGTTTTTTGCCGTTTGTATTTTGCTCTGCCATACCACAATGTTCGTATTCACACTCAGAATTCACATACGTGGCGTAACATATATAATACTGCACGATTTACTTCAGTCTCTGTGCGAGATGCTACAACGTAGACGCACACATGTAGATGATGACTTTTTTTTCGCTTTGGATCGTTCTTTACTTTTATTTTTCTTTTCTTTTTGAAATTTCGCATTCAAAGCAGCAATTGTTTCCTTTTTTTTCTTGCTCCCTTTTTCACTATATAGCACCGAGGATAGTTTGCGCACTCTTTCTCTCACAGTAAATAGATTTGTTGAAAAATCCGAATACGAATCGAATGAGACACTTCGATTGATTTTTTCTCTAAGTTTATTCAAAAATATGCCCGTTTCTTTATATATTCAAATAAATCATGAGACGAGAGCATTCGCATCTATTTCGTTATCGCCGCATTGTTTCGTATATATTCAATTTAATCGACACCAAATAGTCAAAGAATCATCGATCGAAGTAAATCACAGTGTTCGTAAACAATTCGCTGCTCAAAATCGGTTCGCTTCGATGTGAAAATGGTATGTAACAAAACTGAATTGTGATATGACGATTTTGATTTTGTTCTGTTTCTGCTTTTTTATTTATTTATTTTTTGATTGTTTTTCGCTCAAATTTCGACGGCATATGTGATCAGTCAAGTCAAACTAGTTCATGCACACATATCTATCCGCTTATATTGCACAATGATTAGAATGCATTCAGTACATTCGGCTATTGATCTCACATGAATTTTGCTTGCTTTTGTCTTGTCTCGGCTCCTCTCGTCTTTCGTTCTCTCTCACACACACACTCTCTCTCTTTTTGCTCGATTAATTGGCCGATTTTGTTTATGGTCGATGAATCAATATTTATTTCATTTATTTACTTGTCAGTGCACAAAAAAGTGTGTTCAACGTCACTCTGGTCGTTGTCTCTCATCACTTGGAATTTTCGAGTGTGGTTCAAAACGTTGTCATTAACGAATAATCAACTTCACTTAAAGCATAAACAATTCTTTCATTTTCATTAAATGTTTCGTCCAGTGTTTTTTTGGCTTCTATTGATTAATTCAGGCGGCCCGTCGTTTCGTTGACTTTTCTCAGGCTCCCGTAAATTTATAACCTCGTTTAATCGATGGGCTTGTTTATATGCCTATGACTTTTGTTTCCATAAATTTCATTCAGTTGCTTTGATGATGTTTCAATTTAAAAACAAAAATATATTCATATAACAATGCCTAATTGTAAGCCGCATACGCCTAAAACTTATCGGTTTTGGTTTTCGCTTTTGCTTTTGCTTGATTATGTTTAAAATTTACCGTGTGTTCACCGTTTTTTTTTATTTAATAACGAAAACAAAAATACGTAAAAAACGAATGAACGAAATTAAATTTTGAAAACAGAATAAAATAAAAATAAATTGATCAGCGACATTCGTACGTATCGCTCTTATCTCCTCTATTCCTTAAGTCATACTGATTACTCGTACGGGCATTCGAAAAAATATATCTTTCAACAGCAACAACAGCAGCAAGAGCAGCAGCAGCAGCAGCAGCAGAGTATTGTGAGCGCGTTTAGTTGTGACACCAGCCGATAGAGTACCAGCGTGGGATCTAGCGCCACTAAAACACTCACACGGCACCGTTCGTACGGTTTGCTGTTACGGCTGTTCTTATATGTATACATGCACAATAACTCCGCTGTGTATCAATATTCACCATTCATTGTGTATCAATGTGTGTATTCACGGCGGTGTTCAGTGTGTTCGCCTTTTCTACACATGTCAGCAGCAGCGGCGACGGCAACAACATCAGCAGCATGTCTTCGTTCGTACGATTCTGTGTAGGTTGTGTGCGCATATGTCGGTGTGTTCGGCTGTGTCTTTCGATGATATTCGTCACAATTACGTTCATGAATGCAGGTGTTTCGAACCCATTTGTAGGAAAACTGTTGCAAATGTACGATGCCACCATGGCCAATGAAATTTAGGAAAAGTTATTTCTTTTTTAAAGCAATCCAATACAGAATGTTCCTCTCCTTATTTTCAGCTTAAACAGAATCAAATGCGTTTGCGGTCGATTTGAATAGTGGAATCGCCGATTTTCTTATACAATACATAGTATCCTATACAGTTTTTTTTTTTCTATGGATCAAAATATTCAGTTGGTTTTGGTTACGTGAAATAGAAATCAGTTGGGTTCGTTCAAGACAAGCGACACCATTGTCTAGACACTAAATTATTAAAGCCATGTACAAATAGGGTGTCACGGCCAAATTAGTTGGATCATCACACAGAGAAAAAAAGTCCAAGTCAATGGTCAATTAAGTTTAACGCAATCATTTACTTCACATTATGCACAATATGAATCATCTGCCATAATTAATGATAAATTCAATTTCAGACACAATTCCAACTGTCGCCGTTCAGTAAGTGAACCGAGACAAAAAGCTGATTCAAAATCCAAGCCACTCTAGTGCACACTTAAAAGAATTGTCGGCATTCGTATGTGTATAATATGTGTGCGTCAGTGCGTCGCGACACCATTGCATTGCGCTCACGCTTATGCTGGATCTTATATGGAGGTCTGTTTTCCACATTATCGTTGCTCGCACACGGTGTGTGTTGGTGTCTATCTTTCGGTCGTTTGTTCGTTTACTCGTTTATTCGTTTAAGGCGAGTATATATAATGTTTGTACGGGAAAAACTGAACATAGTAGAATGCCAATTGGTATTGTTGCTGTCGTAATCGCCGTTGCTGTCTCCGTGTCCGTCGCCGTCGTCGTTCGATTCGGCTGAGGAAACCATGGCATAGGAAAAACACAATGCATTCAAATAAAATATCGGATTTTCATACATTTGGTCGCGTATATTGTTGTGCATTTGGTGTGCGAATGCGCTTTTGTATGTAAGATTTTGTAGATGGAAGTTTCATTGATAAAATGAAAAAAAAAAAGAAAAAAAAGAAATGCAAAGTAACCACGTGCGCCATACACAAACAAACATATCTTCACCACATGCTAACAAGCAGCCAAAAAGAACAGCGATCCCGTATCGAATGCGATGCCCATTTCCAATAATTTTGCATAAATTTTGTTGTATTTATTACTATAAACGGTACAACAAAAAAATATGCACGAAAAGTTATCATTTACTGTAAAATTATTGCATAATTTCTTCTTCCTGCTGCAATGATTTAACCATTTACTTGATAAATTCATTAAAATGCGCATGACTCGTCAATTTCATCTTAATTTTTGATAATAAAGTTACTAAATGTTGCTCGTTTTCCTACCTTCGAGTCATGGAGGAATACGCAAACGAACGAACGAACGAACGAACGAAAATTGACATCAACGCATAAATGACTGCCGGCTCATTTAGTCGTGATAGAGTTATCGTTATTAGAATGAACACACGGAATAAAGATAGCGAAAAATTAATGATGCAAAATCCGATCTGCAAAAGTCGTTACAATTACGATGCATATTATATGATCTAAATCTTCTTTTGTTTTCAAGAAACACGGACCAGCGATCGCACACACACATAAATCAAACGAAAATCAGCCGATGATAAACATGATTCCTGTGATGATATATGATGATTGATCGCATAAATGGAAATAACGTATCAATTTATGTGTCGTGAAATTTTTATTGCTATTTTACCATTACCATCCCAGGTCCGGCCCAACCATGAGAAATGCATTCAACTGGTGTCTCCGGCGAAACGCTTGCGCAATGCACGAAAATGACATGCTGATCTGCGACGAGATGATTGCAAAGTATCCCATTAAATCGAATGTTATTCAAATGATGTGACATCTTGTTTCTGTGGATATTCCTCCAAAATCATCATATCCTTCCAATTGAATTGAACATTCATTCAAATAATTCCCAATCGAAAATATGAAAATAATAATAAAAGTACATGTACAAACTTGAACAAAAACACTCGCATAAAATAGTCTAATTACTAGCATTATATTAGGCATAGTATGCAGACAGGAAAAAGCGCACTGTCAACGCGGATCTTTCTGTTTCCGGCTTTCATAGATACTACGCGAGCGGTCATTAAATTTGCAATCCGTTTGTATACATTTCCATTTTGTGAATTTACGATGCGGGAATTCAAGATAGAAACGACAGTTAGCTTGTTTGTTTATTCTCACAATTTGTAGTCGATTTGGTTTGTCCTGATGGCGACATCACATTAACGAAACGTCGCCAATCCTTTTTTCTTTCATAACAACTGAACTTATTATTAATTGCTTAATTTGACCAGATTTGACGTTATAGCAACTAATAAGCCCTCGAATAAGCCAATTGGATTGTGCACCATTTGGGCATATTTGTAGCGCGTATGAGATTTTAAATCGATTTTAACTATTCCATTCGTATGCTTAAATTTGCTTCCAATTTGACGATTTAATTAGACCACCCATTCGATTTTGTTGATTTTTGGCTTTAACTCTGACTAATGAATTCCATGATCGGCAAATGAGCCAACAACGATACCAACAACAACATGCAACGGAAAAACATGCCATCTCGTTCACCGCACATAAGTATATTAGTTCTACCAGTGAATACACTTTTTAAAAAACAATTCCAAGCGTCGCATTTCCATGATTTCGATGGAATGTGTGCTCCTTTTCAACCATGGCTCCTTTTTGGCAAAAATTCTTAAGTTGAAGCGATCAGTTTTCTTCTTGGTGGATTCGAGTCGAGTGCACAAAAAAGAACATAAAACCGGTTCGTGAAAATATAGCATTGTATCAATTATATTTAGATGAACTCTAAGCTCTTATGAAAATTGATAAATAAATAAAAATGAGTCTACATACACACGAAATTGGGGATAAGGAGACTGCTGCCGCTTCTTATTCTTCTTTCTTCAATGCTTCAAATCGCAAACTAAGCGCCGCACTATTTAAACAGAAAATGTTCATTTTTTTAAGTGCAACGCAGTCACAGTCTAAACAGAGTAGAAACCATTTAGTTATTCTTAGGCCGCTAATTGCATAATGTCACTGTTAAATCGCTTCGAGTGAGAGATGCGAACGAAGGCAAATCAAAGGAAATGAAGAAAGAAAGAGTTAATAAAGTAGAATTTTGAAACGCAGCATCTTCCAAATTTGCAGTGGGCCAACGAAAGCGTTTTACTCATGCTTGAGTTATGCGCGCTGGAATTTAATTGCAAAGATGAAGAAATAAGATGTGAAGGAAGAAGCGCATCACAAAATCGACAAATACGCACTTATTGAGAACCAAAGCGTTCTGCTCAAATAGAAAATTGTACAATGTTCGCAATGTCCATATTACTTCTTGTTTGTTTGTTTTGCTTCGTTTAGCGCTTGAATGTTTATATAAATTTTTCTTTCTCTTGCGGCCAAATATTATGCATTCCAAGAGCAGGTATGCATTCGTTTTATTTGTTGCGATGTTTTCGTGTGCTCTTGCTCTCACTCTGGCTCTACTTCTCTGGTGCATCTGAACGCAATCGTCTCATCGCAACTTGGACCATTCCTCCATTTCGCATTGATATCGAATCTATTTCAGCGCATAACAACAATTTATCCACAAGCTAACATACCAAAACGACCATTGATACATATACATACACGCACATCTATAATGCTTTAAGCGCCATCTGATTTTTTGCTTCATTTATTTTTCCCATCCAATCAATCAAATTATAAATGAACACAGGGCTGTAGCCAAGCATAATCGCTGTCACTGGCTGTTAATGCCACAGCACACTGCAATGCAGAAGCAGCAGCAGCGGTAACATCAACAAATACTAACCAAACCAAGCCAAAGCAACATCATCTCGCTCTCTCTCTCTCTCTCTCTCTCTCTCTCTGGCTATGTGTGTTTACACATACTTACAATCCAGATCGGGATATGCATCGATAAAAATGTAAAAATGTAAAACGGAGATCAACATACAACAACAATAAAACGAATGAAACGCAGGCATTGGAAATTGGACGGCAGAAAAAAGAGAGAATACGCAAGAAGACCCCATAGAATGGAGAGCGCATAAAGAAAAACATGATGAAACCTTTAAGCATACCGTCAATTTATAATAAACAACTTAAGAACGAATATAAATGAACAGGTTGCCGCGGTTGTTTATAACGAAAATTGTTCTTAATATTTGTTTTAGAAGACTATGTAAGCAAAGGCAATGACGATGGCTTTCGTATCGATGCAGTTTTGCGTTCTCCTGGCCACAGCCATTGTTGTTCCTTTGTCGTTCTCTTTCTCTCTTTTTCTTTTTTTTCCGTTTTTCGGTCGTGTTTTTCCTCCTCTGTATGCTCGTTCATTCGTTTCTGTACGTTGTATGTTCCTCTTCTTTTCGATTTATTTGGACTTGCAGCACAACCGTACACCAATTTGATGAGTAACTTTAACGTTTAATTCTTATGTAGAATGTTTTTATTAAATTGATTCTTAGAATTCGAGATGCTTACCCAGAATTAAACTTTTGGAGTGTGCATGAATGACTGGCTGCAAGCCTATCTCCCTCCGTGCATGTGTGCACAACGGGAAGAGAGCCAGCCAATACAAGATTATGGTTGACGATGTGCACAGCAATGAAAAATGCAAAAAAAAAATGGGTTTCACGAATTGGCAATATGCAATGCAATGCAATGCAACAAGAGCAATGTATTTATTTCGGGTTTCATTAGTTAACTTTCAGTATTAGAATGATATTGATAACACAGTTGGAATAAACGTTTATGAAAGCTGATGAAAATAATTTTTTATATTAGTCGTCGTCGTCGTCGTCGTTGTCGTCGTAACCACCGCTGCTGTTGCCCAAAAAGAGCCGATAAATACTCGATAAATACGCTCATGGACGATGGCCACCATAATGGATATATCGGTACAAACTCGAAATTCAAAACAAAACAACGGGCTAACAACGATGCTATGGAGATGTTTTGATGCATTTAAATGCAGAAATATGCTACAGTTCTCTCGAAAACGATGGGATAACCATAACCAATACTTCAATCGTTTTTGATCAGAATAAAAACCGGCCTGTCATTACTATAATGATTCATATCCTAAGGCCAAATTACATTTCACCATTGCTATGTGTTTCTGGTGCATGCACACACAATGCACACTGCACACTGCACAGGGTTTGTGAGAAAGAAACGCGCCGATATTCGGCATTTTTTGTTTGTTTGCCCAAAACGAACTCACATCCAAATAAACAAGCAGTCGATTATATTCGTCTTTGCGCTGCACATTGCATGTATCGCTTAACGTTCATTCAATGGACTCTGCATACACACTGGCTTTTAACTTTCAATGCAAATGGGCTTTTTGCTTGTCGGTTCTTGTCGTATCGACGCACAACTTAACTACCTACTACGAAATAAGCGTGAGCCGACTCTTATGTAAACAACTCATTTGATTTTTTTTTTTAAAGATCACCACTTTTCGGAGAAAAATCTCGTGGCGAGTGTGTTTTTTTCTGAAGCGTAGAATCATTTCATCAAAAATGTAAAAATAAGGGATAGGTAAGACTGGTCAGCGTGCACACGCACATCTATTCCTGTTCACCGTGTATTCTTTTTTTCTCTCTTCATTTCTCTCTTCATTTAGTGGATAAATTTTTACATATTGGATTCGAATAAAGGTGGGAATTAAATGAAACACATTGAAAGAATAAGCGCGAACTATACATATATTAGCGGCGCCAGAAATGTTCATTTCAGCCAGTATCAATTGGCAGTTCAGAAAAAGGCAGCGGATAAACAAAA